GTATAGAAGTTGTTTGACCTTGTTTTCGCAACTTGATCATATTGGCAGGAAGACCTAGAGGAACGCACCTAGTCCGGAGTTTATTGTATGCATCATCATTTCCAGAGTAGGACCGTGGACGTGGTACATTCCCAGACGTGCTAAGAATGGCGATACTCACTGACGATGTCGGCGTAACGTCTGGGAATGTACCCCGTCCACGGTCAGACTTTGTAAATGATTATGCATACAATGGACTCCGGACAAGGTGCGTTCCTTTAAGTCTTCCTACCAATATGACCAAGTTGCGAAAACAAGGTCAAACAACTTATTAACAGTTTCTTTGTTGGAATAATACTCATGTAGTCGGCATTACCATTAAGAGGCGCTATTGTTAAATCAGAGTTTCAAATTTTCAAAGTGACAACCGAAGATGATCCCCCTTAAACAATTTCCTGTTCAACCGTTGATTGCCTTCAATTGTTACTTTGATTAGTTGTAACCCTATGCCTACGATGGCGCTTCTCACTGACAATGCAGGCGATAAATTTGGAATGTATCCAGCCCATGATCCAATGCTGTAAATCACGAATACTATGGCAGAGGACACGAGACTGGGTACGTTTCACAAGGTCTCCCTGACTCTCCGATCAAGTTGTGAAAAAAAGGTCGAACCAACACTATGAATCTAAAGAAGACTGCGACCAAACAAATACAACACCTTCTTGGTATTCATATCTATGAGCTAATTTAAGCTAGCTTATCCGCCTCCAAAAGTTGGGTATAGGACTCACAAATGTGGATATATGAGGGATAATTCCTTAGTAGAATCCCCCGATTATACAATCGATTATATCCTGATTTTCTGTCATTCTTTATGAACCGCTTTCATTCACAGGTGCTTCATCGCCTTCAGTTCCACACACTACTATTCCGACGATACCGGTTACCTCAGTCGCTTTAACCACGACAAGCTTCAAATGCGATTCACTTGAGGTCGCCAAGGATGCAGCAAAATTACCTGCGGAAATTGAGGTCAATGAGGTAGTGGTACCAGATATCCTGTCGCCGATGGCTCTTGGCAAAGAGATAACGGTGCGTTGGGTTCTCCTGAATTCCTCAGTTTATCTTTAGCCCAACATATCCACGAATTCCGATTAAGATTTCTTAATTATTAAGATTGGATGTTATTTTAACTATTCAAATCTGGTACTTCTCTGCTTAATTCATTTTAAAACGACTTTCATAGCGAATCCTTTCACTTCCTTGATACATGTATTTGTGTGCTGTCGCATGTATTCATGATGCATACATATGCTTGTTAGCGTGGGAGAAAAAATGATTGTCACCTAATTTCGTGCTCCTTAATATATAAAATTGTAGCGGACTTGCCTACCATTACTTTTAATTTACACTTTATAGTACATAATAACACATTTTGTACCGAACATATTTCGTCCGGAGCTATACTAACATGCTCTTCGGAGCATTATTTATAGAGGTTATTCACCAACTCACGAAAAATTTAATTTTTTCCATATTATCCTCTTCAAGATGGCTATTTCAAACAGGCACGCTTATAATAAAGCTCACTTATGCATTATTACTCAGTGCTGCTTCAACATTTCATGCGGTGTCTATTTATTGCCAGTCGATCACGTAGATAGGAGCTTCAAGCATTTTTCATCTGGTAAAAAAGAAACAAGTTAAAAAATGCTTATCATCCGAAGAAAGAAGGCTTCTCCTTTTCACGATATACAGAGAATTAATTTCTGACTCTAATTTATATCGCTTCAAAACTTTATATTTGTTATTCGTATATCGATTTCCTTTCGTCTATTAACCAAAGTTAACTATTCCTAATTTAAAATACACTTGACTGGA